TACCATACCCTTTTATATAGCAATTTATCATATAAATTTCCCAGCAAATAAGTGTTAATGTTTGTTTTCCTTATGCCATTGTGTAATTTGGACTTTAAAGCAGGACATAAAACAAAGTATCTACATCATATGGCCTAATGCAACAAAGTACAGATGGAACACTGAACTAGAACTTATAATGAATAAAAAGTAAGAAGTCAATTTCACAAGGTTCTATCCTTTAATACGAACTATGTGGGCCCCAAAGGAAAGGGAAAAATGTTGAATATTGTTTCAAAAATCCAGGAAAAATTGTTTTAAAGAAAACAAGGCAAACAAACATGTTAGAATTAAATACTCACCTTTATCCATATGTTGGTAGCAGACTCTTCTTCACAATCAATATATTTTATGTATGCATGTAGGGCTTTGTTCCTACAAAAAACAATGTACATTATAAAATAGCTTTATAGAATCAACATTTTGCAGCAATTAACCCTATCATTGGTGGTTGAGTCCATGTTAGGAAAGACCACCATCATTGTACTATTATTCCCCTCTGAAGGGCCAGTGATTTATTCATCTAAAGTTTTCAAATTCATAAGTTTTAAATAAACTAATATCATTCATTGAAGGGGCTGTGATTCTTTCTTGGTTTAAAAGTTCTAATTGGTTTGGAAGCTCACATAATCCGCATTATTCTAATTTTCAATATCTCTTTAAGATTAGTTGGATTTTCTTAAATTAAATGTAATTTTGAAAAAGTATTTAAAACTATCTTAATAAAAATAACTTACCCCTGCTATCATCAACATATTGGAAATAAATCCTAGAATCTTCTTCAAATTTCCAGCACCTAGGATTTCTCCAACTGTCATGCTTTTGTTATTTTCCTTTTGTATACTGTATAATCAATTGTCCAATGGAAACTATTCTGTTTGAAGATGTTAATGTTACTTTTGTGGTGTATATTGCATACCGATACAGTTAGTAGCACTTAGGGAATAAGCTTTCAGATCAGTCCATTGAATCACTGTGTACCCTTTTTGAAATATTAGACTCACCTAAACTTTACACTATCCAATGAAAGAAGGGATTTAAGTTACACCCATTCAAATTTTTGGCGGAAACAGGTTTAACAGACAATATTAGAAATTATTAACATTTTGAATAAAGAGATCTGAATTAAACAGTTAAACACTGGATTATTGGAACATGCTTATGTACAGTATGGCAGATACATCAACAGGGAATTGTGAATTTGGTAAGTCAATTTATCATAATTTTAAGTCCAGAGTAGGATAGAAAGATGTAAAAATTATTTAGAAGATGGTTAAGCTAGAGAGGAGAATTAAAGGTTTTGTGTAAAATTGGGGTGACTGGATAACCGGGTTGCCAGGTGACTTGGTAACATTCTTAGCAGGGCTAGGATTTGATTTTATGCCTTCCAGGTATTCTGATATTGATAAAATAGTCGATTATTCAAAAAGTGCTTGGTCTCTGGAAGGTTTTTGATGGAAAGATAATGTTTAAATATAGAACAGTATAGTTTACACTTAGGAGGCTGGGGCTATCATGTCAATTTGCCACTATATTAGGGGAAAATGTCCAACTTTGAAAGTTGGTAACCCTGCTAGACACATTAGGCACCCTGAGTCACCGGCTACCCAGTCATCTGTTTTTTAGGCAGACCCTAAATAATATACATTTCTTCATAAATAACTAATGTGACAGCTAAGGAGGATTTTCTCCCAGTGACGCCAATCGATATTCTGTTTCATATATGGGTATCACATAGCCATGTTATGAATACAAAATTCAATCAAGAATATCAGCCATTCTCCTGGCAGCCGTAGAAATATACAGGTAGGATCGGAAACTACCGCATCGATTGGAGATTAAAGAATATTGAGTTGGAACCCTGGCTTCCAATCCTCCTTGGGTGACAGCTTAATATGAGAATTCAAAATATTATAATGACTTTTATGGTTTTTTAATCTTGTATTAGACAAAAACGTCAAGTCTGTGAGGTCAAATAATATGTTAGCACTGTTTATTTTGCAGAACCGCTAATACTAGAAAAGAGAAGGCTTTAGATGTAGATCTTATGAAGACAACACTCCTAGATGCATTTACTTGTGGTAGAAAACACAATGCAAAACTAACTTGGAAAATATGCGATGGCAACTAAGGTACCAACATTTGAAACAGGGCCAATATCATTTGAATATCGACTTGCCGAGCTATACAAAGTGACAAAAGTCAGTGAACATGACGAAAAGAGTTTGCATATATTGGAAGGAATCTATGTTTGCATTGCAAGTATGTTACACCATCATCAATATATGTATATTTAATTTAAAAAAAAAATTTGTTTGTTTTAAATTCTACTTAATTAATTCACTTATTCTTACTTGACATTGATAGACTGATAATTAATATTTCAGAAAATCCGGTCAAACTCTCATGGCTATATGAGAAGGACATACACATGAGTCAAAAAAGAAAGCGATAAATCCTAACAGCATTATTGAGCGAACAAAGTCGAGGTCTGCAGAAAAAGGTATGAGCATTACATTGAATCAAAACACAATAATGGTCAAAAAGGTATATTCCACTCAAATTATTATATTCCATTACACTCCATATGAAATTTGAAGTGTGTTATTTTCCGGCTTATTTTGTTATTTTTCTTTATTATTAGGAGTGTCTGTCTGCTTTTGTCTGTCCATCCGTCAAGTTGAGTCTTCATGATAACATAGATAAAACTGTTTAATCAATACTATTTCAGGTTGTAACCAGCAAATGTCCATTAAATCAGGGGGAAAACAGAGACCCCTCCAAATAAGACAGAAGTTTGAGGTGGAATACATAGTAGGATATAGAATGAGTCCTGTTGAAGCAGTGAAGATTGGTTTGGTTGTGGAAATTGGACATTAAAATTTACTTTTAACGGGATATTAATTGAACATGGCAAACTTTATATCCAATGGCATCTACTGTACCATGACTATTGACAGGGAACTTCAAATTGAAGTTTAGTATTCGCTTTAACACAGTCCAATTAATTGAATCCCACAACAAATCAGAAATAAGATCAACTTACAACAAAATTTAAAAAACACATTGACGACCCCCCCCCCTGCCACAATTCGAGATACTATTAATCTAGTATTTTGACAGCTACATATTGTCAAAGATCTATCAAATGAAGTGAAAGTGACATGGTTCACTTTTCCCTTGGGTTGTACATTGTATATTATACCTTTTATATTTACAATATATTTACTATACTAGTATCATAATAGTTATTAACAAAAGAATTTGATTGTAAATAGTTGATCAATTTTAAATCAGCTTCAATTATGTGATGCAGAATGTACGTTAACATCTCTAAGTTAAAAGGATCAAATAAATGAAAAATCAAATGAAATGGAATGGAATAACTTGACAACTTTTTCTGTATGTACTGAGTGTACTCAGAAATATGTGCTGAAATATATTATTAAAGTAGTCAGACATATAATTTGATGAACTTAAGGTTGAACATATACATTTTGTAATGATGTGCAGTAGATTAAACCATGAATTATGTCACTGAGAAGCATATAAAAATAATTTGTTATTTTCTAATTACTTTGATGTGAATTAGAGTATATTATGTCCATTTCTGTCAGAGAAGTATGGATAATGTGGTCATAAGCAACATTGCATAACTTAATTAGGGTTCACCTCACTATGATCAGTCCATGTCTGAATTCAGACAGTTGAATCAGTTTTCTAACATGGAAAAGCCTATGTCTGAATTCAGACACAGTCTCATTATAGTGAGATGAATTTGTTTATGTGTCTGAATTCAGACAAGATTTCAATCTGAAAAAATTGATACTGATTTCCACTGTCTGAATTCAGACACAACACATAAGATAAACAAATTCATCTTACTATTAACAAATTGTGTCTGAATTCAGACAGTTGAAATCAGCTTCTGTTTTCTAATATGGAAAAGCCTGTGTCTGAATTCAGACACAAGAGATAAACAAATTCATCTTACTATTATCAAGTTGTGTCTGAATTCAGACAGTGAAAATTTAGGTTTCTTATAGATTAGAAAGTCGCTGCCTGAATTCAGACACAGAATATTCAAGTATAAGATACACTATATGTTTAGCTAAGGAATGTTTCTGTCTGAATTCAGACAACTTGTTTCCCTCTGAAATACACTACATGTGCCTGAATTAATGTAAGAAGATGCAATGAATAAATATGTCATGAGTAAAACACCTATAAAACAGTTTTGTGTAATACATTTGTCAAACTGGAAAAATGTCAAACTTCACTGGAACCTGTTATAATTTGTTTTGTTTAATTGTGTAACATGGAGTCATGGGCTTTCAAGAGAAAAACAACAAAAAATATCTATTAATTTACATTTATGTAAAAATATTTTTGTTGAGTATGCTCTGAGTGTCAGTAATGCAAAATTATTTTTTCAATCAGGTTGCATAGAAACACAGATCGCAAAGTCAATCTTATTTGTGGTTGGATAAGCCAATTTAGTTTTGTTCTTAATATTGACTTTGTGACTAAAAATAATCATGATCATAGGCATTAATAAAATTTTTGGGCTCTCATATTGATTTGTAATGTAATCATGTTGAACAGACACAAATTGTAATGAAATTTATTTTACATTCTTTGCTTTGACAATAATGCTCATGTGATTTTAGCAATCTAAGATCATATTCTGTTACTTAAAGATTCAGTTTTTAAGATAATGCCTAAATCTTCAGTCAGATTCGCTATACTGCAACTAACGGCGGGCGTAGATTCACAAATTGATCATACTGCTTATCACTATATCTTATGCTGAATATTTCTCTCAATTTTGGGAAGCTACGGCCGCTGCACGGTTGTCGTAGATCAAATGCGACTGAGGCATTAGTTGCATCAATCATGAACAGTGATGTAAATACCAAGAAATGGCTTTCTGAATAAATCCTTTCTCTCTCTGCTTTCAGCTGTTTGAGTTGCTGCTCTCCTGCTGTAAAGTCTCTGGGCTGAGATGTATCATCTGCAAGACAATTATGAACATCTCATCTTTAAAAACTGAGCCTGTCGGGCGGGAGATGTTACGTCAAGGACAGATATCTGAGCCATTCTTCGCAGTTGTGCACTGGATAGGACAAAGTGTAGAGTCACATGATCGTGCGCCATTGTTGGCATTGGACTTCTTGAAGGAAATATATGAGGTTAGTACGCAGTGTTTTGAATTCATTCTGACGTTCAAAACATTAATGGAAGTACTGTTTGTTCACATATTGTGCCATTATCCAAATTGGTAACAGTAGAGTTTGTATTTTGGGGTTTTAGGATAAGCAAATTAAAACAATTTACAGTTGCAAACTGATTTAGTTCAATTTGCAACAACATACTGAAATGTCATTAGAAAATTTTTTCATTGGTTAATTAATTGTTTTTTATTTGCATATCTATAAAATTGATTACATATTAGTTCATTAGAAAATTCATACAGATTTCAGTAGATTATTTGGTAATGTTAACATTTAATTAACAACATGGGACTGTATTTTAAAATTGTACATTTTAGGAGATCATAGGGTTTGGCCTGATAAGTAAGCTTCCGCCTAGGACTGACATTGTCCTACCCAAGATAACTGAGACACTTATGTCCCCCATGGGAGATGTCAAAACTGATTCAGTAATGCAGAAAAAATGCCAAAAGATAACAAAGTCGCTGGAGCTTTTACTTGATATCCTTTTGATGAAATAATATCTCTGAAGGCTTACATTTTCTCTTACTTTTATTTTTGGTCAGAAGGTTTCTTGAAAAAAGCTATCTATTGTTATTTTGGGACGTTGTTCATCCAAATTAGGCCTTATCTACAAAAACTAGAATATTGGTGTACAATATTTTTGAGAGACGTATGGATCTTGAAGATTGTCAAAGTCAATAATCTATTATATTTTAGTAGATAATTTTCAATCATATGTAATATTATACATGTATGTTCATTTACTGATAAGTGGAAAATAATTTATTGACAAAGCAGAATGAGTGCTGTTCAAACAGCCATATAAACACTTATAAAATGAGTTTATTTTGTCATCTAGATCCAAAATTATAGTTTACATATTCTCTTTGAGAGGTGTAAACTGGTCAAAATATTCCAAGTTTCATTTTTTTTGTCGATCCTCTTTTGTGCAATGTTCTTTAAAAAAGTTCAATGCTGATGAAGTCACTGTTAATCTGAACCTCTACCATTATTGAATACCAGACCAGACTCTGACGTAAATATTTCCTTAACTCCTCCCACTGTTATGCCAGGATGAGTCATTGAGGAGGGAAGTGTCGGAGAGCGTCGATGAAGAGACATTATGCCGACTGATAGAGTATCAGTTCTCCCATAATGCAATAGCAATGAATAAAACACACGGGCAGTTGGAGGATTCTCAATGGAGGTACATTTCATTCTTATATCAACAGACCTTTCCAATAAACCCTGGTAGATTTTGACATATTAAGCTATGATATATTGTCCTAAGATTGATTACGTTGCTTGTTGGTTGTTATTTGTTGAATCAAGAACAGGATAAATTTACTACTGCATTAACTTATTTCTAAATTTTGAAAAGTACAACCTATGACATCAGTCCAACATATCATAGCTTCTTTGATGTGCCAAAAGGTGGCAGGTTTTATTGGAAAGGTCTATTATATCAGAAAATATAAAGCATGGGCATCCAGGCTGGTAGCCACGATTTGCCAAGTTCACTTTTTGAAAAATTCCAAGGGGGTTCACTTTTGACAATTTTGGTCCAAAAATGGCTAAAATCACTTAAAAAGGTCTCAGAATGATGAAAAACTGCATGATTTTGAAAGAAATTTTGGCCAGGGAGGGGGGTTCGCTCGAACCCATTGAAGCCCCCCTGGCTACGGGCCTGACATCCCTACACATGGTCACTCGGCCAAAAATAAACACTAGTAGACTGTTGATGTTATCGGGAATCACATTTTTCTTTGTATATTTTAATATGTTATTACAAGTGTTATAGGCGAGTGGGAGATCCAGCAAAAAGGCCTTATTTGTTGACCTTAATTAAGATTGCTTGCTTGCAACCGCATGAGTCATACCTGACTTTCATAATATGAATATGCAGATTTCAAAAATGACAATAATGAAAATTGAAAAATGGCCGATCACTATGGAAACGGGACGCAAAAGCCACGCCCACTTTTTAAATTTCTTACTTGGTGGTTAATACATTTTAGACTGCAACTTTCTCGATTTTTAACAAATCTTCACATTATTGGTATCTGCTGAAGCGTAATAATGAGTTCTTTCACCTCAAGCATAAATAATGTTAATTCGCTCATTTGCATATCAATTATGACGTCATAACCCTTCTTTTGGCCTCAATTTTCCATATAGTTACAACAAAGTAACAGTGTTTTATTAGTTACACTTCTTAAAAATGGATAAAAGAAGGTAAATATAGTGCCAATACAAGCAAGAGTATGTCGGCTTTTCGGATATACTGATATTGAAGGCTGCATGTTGGTAAGAATAACATAAAAACTCGTTGCCATGGTTACCGTGAACTTTTCAGTAATTTAGGCAATAAAAACGTTTTGGACTGTAACTTTCTTTGTTTTTAAGCAATCTTAGCATTATTGGTATCAGAAGAAGCGAAATAATAAGTTCTTTCACCGCAAGCATTAATTATGTTAATTGACTCATTTGCGTATCCATTGTGACGTCATAGCCCTTCTTTTGGCCTCGATTTTCCATATATTTACAATAAAATAACAGTGTTTTATTAGTTAAACTTCTTAGAATGGATGAACGTAGGTAAATACAGTGCCAATACAAGCAAGAGTATGTCAGCTTTTTGGATATACTGATATTGAAGGTTACATGTTGGATAGAATATCATAAAATCTCGTTTCCATGGTTACTGTGAACTTTTCAGGAATTTAGGCAATAAATACTTTTTGGACTGTAACTTTCTTTGTTTTTGAGCAATCTTAGCATTATTGGTATCAGAAGAAGCGAAATAATAAGTTCTTTCACCGTAAGCATAAATTATGTTAATTGGCTCATTTGCGTATCCATTATGATGTCATAACCCTTCTTTTGGCCTCGATTTTCCAGATATTTACAATAAAATAACAGTGTTTTATTAGTTAAACTTCTTGAAAATGGATAAAAGTAGGTAAATGCAGTGCCAATACAAGCAAGAGTATGTCGGCTTTTCGGATATACTGATATTGAAGGCTGCATGTTGGTTAGAATAACATAAAACTCGTTGCCATGGTTACCATGAACTTTTCAGCAATTTAGTCAATAAAAACATTTTGGACTGTAACTTTCTTTGTTTTTAAGCAATCTTAGTATTATTGGTATCAGAAGAAGCGTAATAATAAGTTCTTTCACATCCTGCATAAAGTATGTTAATTAGCTTTATATTTACATATACATTATGACGTCATAACCCTTGCTTTGGGATCAATATTCCATATATTAACAATATGATAAGATTGTTTCAATGGGCTCACGTCTTAATAATGGTTAAAAGTAGGTATATGTAATGTCAATACAAAGAAGAGTATGTCAACCATCTAGATATACTGATAAATTAAAGTCTTCATGTTGGTAAGCATACCATAAACACTCGTTCCCATGGTTACCATGTACTTTTTAGGCGATGAATCCTATTTTGACTAACTTTCTTGGTTTTTAACCATCTTATATTAACGATATAAACGATGTGTATTATGGTGCCATGATAGTAGAGTTAGATCTCCTTTGCCTGCTTTTGAGCTCTCAAAGCTCTTCATTTTATAACTCATCTGGTTCAGGAAAACACATCAGCACAGCGCCATAGTGGATCACAGCTACGCTAGCTCTGATGAAATCTGTTCTCAGAATTCCTTCTCTGTTAATGCTGTTAATGTCAGCAATCACCATCTGCGTCAAGGTTATTCTCCCATCTCATGCCATCTCCATAAACAGGAGCCAAAAGCAGCAACAGAACAATCAGCTTGAACAAGGACATTTCTCTCGCTAGGTTTCAACTATTCTCCTCACTGTTTGTGCCTTGCAAGAGTTGGTAACCATGCTTCTATCCAGATTAAGAAATTGTATAGGATGAATTGTTGAGTTACTGGATATAGAACTCTTACTCTCGGGGAGCTTTTCTCTCTTCTCACCTCTTTTGGGGCTTTAGGCAAACATAAGACATGTGCCCTTAGGCTGATCAATCAAAACATACCAATTGACAGCTCTACAAAACATGTACCTTCTCACAACAACTCCTACAATTAATGCCACAATGTGCACAGAGCTCTCTTCTTGAAACGTTTGACAGCCTCTTTTATATTCCTCTTCATCTCTGTCTTTATTTCTTCAACCATTTAAGGAGGTTTTCCTCCACATGATCACTAGAAGAAAAGGAGATATGATGATCCCATTGTATTAGCTTGAGTCCTTCCTGGATCCATTCAGATTCCTGAAACGCTTCCTCCCTCTGGGCCACTTCCATGGCCTGATCAAGAGACTTTGGATCTCTTCTGTGTACTGCTGCTCATCATCATCAGTTATGGCATTCCCAGAGCTCTACCTCGCTAGTCTATCTTGTGAAGAGCAAGGCATCTCGAGATATGTTAAAGCCTCCACCAGGTCATCATAGGCATACCCCTCTTCCAGCTCCTGCACTAGCTGCTTAATATCTTCCATCAACTGGTTAGTAAGGCCTGCCTCTTCTCTTCATCATTTCTCTGTTTGCTCTCCATGCAATTCTTGAAGTATACTTTGAAGTCTAACCACAGTGTGTTCCCATCAAACAATGGGGTTGGTTTAATCTTGGTTTTCCTTCCAAATTGTGCTGACTCTAGAGCCATCTCATACATGCCCAATGCTTTCTCAGCAAATTTAGCCTTTATAGCCTGTCCTTGATTGTCATCTGAGCGCTGTACTATTACTCTCGCATCTTTATAACATTTGACCTCAGAGTTCCCAAACCTTTAATACATCATTTGGGATTCACTTTAATTCAATTCTCTCTTACAGTGAGTCACAGGATCTCCTCTCATACCAGGAATGTCTGTTGAATATATAAGCACAAATGCCAAAAGGGAAGGGTGACTAAAAACTTTAAGGAAACCCGACAAGAAAAGCAAACTGTAAGTGTAAATCTGTCATAAGAAAAGTAGACCCTATATATTCCAAAACCATGATCTAACGTGAAAAGAAACAATGTCTCACATCCCCCTCCCCCCTCCAATCGAGAGCCAATATCATAATCCAGGGCCAGAACACCAAGGGACATTTCATTCATACTGAAGTCATTACAATACATGTTGAAGAAAAAATTGAAAAATTTATAGCCAATACTCATAACATTAAAATTAGTTGTAGATACCAGTACTCATAAAAGATAGAGTATTCAGTCTCAAATGATGAAGCCTCATCGGTCTCAATGTATAGGTAGTGATCTGAAGCAATTTAATGAGGGTGTTGTCGGGACAATTGGGTCTATTTCAACAGAATATACTGGTCTTGTGTGACACAAATTGTACGTAAGATGTCAAAGTTGTATATTTGCCCCTAAAATTCAGATATTGTCCTGACAACACCCTGATCGAAGTGCCTCAGATTGCTACCTCGTAATTTTTCTGGTAACTCAGACCTAGAAGAAGTCAGTACATATGGTCTTAGTCTGGATTCACCCAATCTGGATTCATTTCTTTTGGAAATACTTTGGTCTCTCCACTAGGAGTCGTCTTAGCTCTCTCATTTTGGCCCACTTTTAGTGTGTCATCCACTTTAAAACAGGAGCATCTCACTTTTCTCTCCAGACAAGACTGCTCTTCTTGACACCTTTCATTTGGAGGGGTTTCAAGCTGTTTCAATCACAACTTGGGAACCAATTTCACCATTTCTTCTGGAATCCTCTTCATACAAGATTTCTGACTTAATCTCAAACTTCCTTGACATCTTATCTCTTTGGGCAACGGAACCCATCACTGCCACCAATGTCTCGCTTTCCCTTTTCCCGAGTATCCCGTATGCTCATTAAAGAGAAGATCAGGGGCGATCAATAATAACTCTTAGAGGTTTTTCTATGAGTGCCGACCTTGTTTGGTGGTACCGCAGTTAAAGATGGCTCACATGAAACAATTGCATACACATTTTTAAATCTATTCCAACAAAGATGATACAGAAAACACAATGTCCATAATATGATTTAATCTCACTATGATTGTGTATCTTTGGGAGTCGGCACATCTCTTTGGGAAATATATTCTCTGCTCTTGGAATGGGTTCAGCTCTAGGAGTAACTCTGCTCTAGTAGACTATAGGAGTCACTTCGTCTATATAGGAAGTATCGTATCTGGTATTGGACAGTGTCTGGGCTCTAGGAGTAAACTCTGCTCTGAGAGTCTCTCGTAACTTCTC